TTAGGCTGGATCTAAGGAAGAAATTCTTTACAACGAGGGTGGTGAAAGCCTGGCAGGGGTTGCCCAGAGAGGGGGTGGAGGCCCCATCCCTGGGAACATTCCAGGCCAGGTTGGACGGGGCTGTGAGCAACCTGATGTGGTTCAAGGTGTCCCTGCTCCTGCGGGGGGGTTGGGCTGGGTGACCTCTAGGGGTCCCTTCCAACCCCCATTCTATGATTCTGTGAACACTGGTTGGAAAGAACCACTGGGAGTCCTCATGTCCAAACTCCCACTTGAAACGGGACTATCACCATCGCTAAATAAGGGAAGCCATGGTACTGAGCTGTCTTGAAAGTCTCCAAGCATGAAGATTTCACAAGATCCATGGGTAAGCTTAACTTAATGGCAACTATTAATCAGAAGTCACCATCTGTCAAAACCACCGTGAAAGAGAAGGCTAAAAAAAAATATGTTGCTTAAAGTGAAGTCATTAGACTGATTCCAGATAAAGCTAATGCAAGGGGTTCAGTAATTTATGCTACATAGGAAGAAATATTCAGCCTTGTCTAATATTCTCCCAGGACTAAGGGAAATAAACCCATTCTTTGAACGAATACAAACACAAATATCAATGAGGTTTTAGAGGAGAAGCAGCTGAACTCCCCGCATTTGGGTCTCTAAGCCTCAAATTCTGTTTGCATTTGCTCAGTTACCTACTGCTGCCACTGCATATTGGGTGAGGTTCCTGCGCTGCAGTGGAGAACAAGCCTGCCAGGTCCCTGTTTTAGGTTGAAAGAGAAATAATTCTTGCTGTTCCTTGTCATGCTTTCCTCCCAGGACATACAAGGTGTCATAGCTCCGACCAGCATAAGGACACAGCTCCGTATTTTGCCAGCTGGGTGGAGGACAGCTGTCTAACTTCTTTATTAATCTGGAAAAGGTATCTGTCTCTCCAGGGCGCTTGCTGCGTTTCACCAAGATATCGAGGAAGGACAAACTCAGAAAAGTGACCCTGACTTCGCCCACCAAATCCAGAAAGTCTTCCTCTCTCGTTGCTGGGTCCTCCATTATCCACCTCATAACACTGTCAAAAACCACGTCTTCTCGTGGAACGAAGAGGTCATCACTTTTGAGGAGCTGCACCAGCATTTCTTTGGGTAGTGCCTTAAATTCTTCCTGGCACATCACATCCCCCCAGTGAGTGAGAGCCACATTCATAGCAGACTCATACAGCTCTATAAAGGCAAATTGCTGTGAGTAGGTCATCAGGCCCAGGCAGTTGGAAACGTGCAGCTCTCGCTCCAGAAATTTCTCACACAACAGTTTCACCCTGTCAAACTGAAAAAAGTCAGCTGTTTCCAGTAAGCTGGTCACGTTTTCTTGCCCTATAAGCACTCGGGCCGTGCGGGTGAACTCAAGCAGCGTCTGAAAAGGCACTGCATCAATCCCTCTGATCACTATGTGGTGTTCAGAGCTCTCTCTTGCCCCCCCAAAAAACATGGCTTCAAAATAACGACTGTGTACGGAAAGTGCCCTACGGCTGACCTGAAAGAGTCTCTCTCCAACCTCAAGAATTGTGTCTGCGATCATTTCTGTCCGAGGTCCCAGCTCCTCTGGTTCTTGTGCAGGCTCCATGCTTGTTGACTGCCAGGCAGCTAAAATTAACTCAGCCCTTATGCAGCCTTTATTATATGAGGTCTCTGGAAACATTATCGCCCTAGCTAGGATAAATACAAGATAAGCCAATCTTGTCCTAAAAATAGAATATGTTTTCTACCCTCCTGCTTTGCTCTTCAGTCTTTCCTGCTGCTTTCACAGAGCAGAAATAGGAGAGCTGTATAATCAAAAACCCGCAGATTAATTAATCTACCTTAGCCAGGTAAGACCACAGCGAATCAGGGGAGCAGGGAGCCAAGCAAAGAGCCTGGACTATGAGGAGGAAAGAGGAGAAACAACCAAAACCTTCATAAGCACTGACTAAATAGCAAGAAGTTGCAGAAGAATGTTGAATTTGGAAAAAAACCACCCATTACAATACTTTTCACTTCTGCAAACCTTGCAAGGCTTGAGCCTTCCTGGGAAAAAAACCCATTACTTCCTCAAAGCCACATCCTTCATCAGTTCAAGTTTAATAACAATACATTAATATAATATTTAAGTTCAAGTTTAATATCAAGCTCTGAAGTGCTTCCAGTATTTAATATGTACTTAACTTTATACTTTACTAAGAGATGGGGGAAGGAACGAGCCCCCGTTCAAACCCAGATGGCTGTCACATATTCTGTCATCCTCAATCTCAACGCACTAAATAAATACAGTCATAGTACAAGCAACAGCTCACTGATTCCACAGTGATTTTTCCAAAGTGTTTAGACCAAGCTATTAAGTGGAGAGATTTGCATAGTGACCTTGAACTAGTGCCCCTAATCCCAAAGGGCCCATCCCAGCCAGGCTCAGTCCCGTTTCCCAGTGGAGTTCAGCAAGCAGAACAACGCGCTCTGGCTCAAGAGCACCTTTTTTACCCCTGGAGGTTCCCTCCTGCATTTCTGGAAGAGGCTTTCTGCAAAGCTGCTGTTATGAATGGTTTTACAGGGAGTCACGTTTAGGAATGAATCCAACAGAAAAGCATATGCACATTTAAAATTCAGCTACCGTTTTCATATTCTTATTTTCAGGTACTTGACCCCCAAATATAACCCAGATGTCTGTACGGCAAAAAAAGACAACCGTGTACCTTGCAATGGAGACAGAGCAACCTATCAACCGAGCAGGAAATGCTGGAAACATGCCCCTTTCCAGGGTTTATGCACTTGACACATGACTTCAGGTAGATCTCTCTGTACCCTCTGCACCTAGAGCCTGGAATCCACTCAAGAGAGCTTCAACACATCTGACGCTACGCTCAGGAAACAAGAGCGCAGAGATGGTGCAGTGTGTTATCAATAACCAGCAATCTCTCTCCCACTCAAGGGACAGTTCAAGACTACTCAGGCTGATGGCGAGCAAATTCTGCTCCGAGAACTCTAAATAAGGAGTCTCTTTTGAATTGTGCAATTGCATGAAGAACAAGTTTTGTAGCGTTAGAAAAAAATTACATTGGAAGGAGCATGACTCAACGGACAGCTCTGTGAAGCTCGAAGAATGAACCCCTAGGAGATTAAAATCCAGAAGCACTCAAGTTTACACAGGCAATATGCCACACAAGACAACTGGTCCCTAGTTTCATAGCCTCCTGGAAAAGTCAGATACACTGAACTGGAATTTATTTACTCCAAGTTCCCGTCCATTTCAGAGCTGAACCAGGAAAGGGTATGGACAGGAGTCCAGCACTGTTGCCAAAGTGAAAAGCCAGTACAACCTGTCCTTGGTGTGTTTTCTTGACAACCTCTAGGAACAAGACTGCTGCTGCCACCAAACCAATTTACTCTGCCACAGCCTCCTCATAAAGGGTCCCCAGGAAAAGCAGGTGGCAGAAGCAGGTTACACACAGCCTACGGGCATGTCCTCTACTAGAGAGTCTTTAAAATGCCTCGAGTTGAAGCACACGAGTCCTCAGAGAAGGGGCCAGATGCTCTCAGTCATTTTGCATCGACTCCCTGTCTTAGAGCAGAGCATGGCTTCCGATCTGGTCCCTCCTGATTTTGCTGTGTTTACACACCTCCTGAACAAGTTTCATTTAGATTTGCAGCCGTGGAAAACTGCAGTGTCAGCTGTACAGTGCTTTTTCAGACTAAAAACCAGACATTTAGGAACAGACTGATTTGTATTTATTCACTCAAAACTCCTCAAATCTTGCTATTTCTGCAGTATAAAAGAAATAAAAATGTTTACTTACAAATCAAGTTATAACACGCAGAACCACAAGTGGATAGCAACAATATAAAAATATGCAGTATTTCCAGACACTGCCTACAGTTGAACATTAGAATCTCAAATGTTCTTCCCCTAAAATTCCAAGCATCAAATAGATACTTCCTTAAGGTTCACGTCACTCAGCCAAGAATCATCCTAGAAGCTGGTCCAGTCCTCCTGTGGAAATGTGGGAGCCTTCTGATACACAGCCCACAAGATTTGGAACAAGTGCTAGAAAAGATCTTCTCAGCTACGTAGCCTGTACAGGTGATGACAAGGTACCATGCAAGGAAATTTCCCTGCATGCGCTGGAGCAAGCAGGCAAAAGAAACTGAACTCAACAGCAGGATGACTACAACACAATGTGTACCAGCTGAGGACTGACATCTAAGAGGAAGAAAAAACATGTTTCTAATGTTTCTAAGGCTTTAGATTAATTTAATTAAATACATTTCAATGTATTTAAAAATGTAAATAATATAACCAACATTCAGGGCATTCTTTACTAATTTTATGTGGTTGCTTCAAAACTCACAAGATCAAGAGGGTCTCAGACAATTCCATGACAATATATTCTCTCCTGTCAGCTCTAAACAATGCAGTTACACATTTATTTGGGGAGAGGAGGGCAAAATCAGAACTTACTTCTTACACACCGTGCCCCATTCTCTCCTCATTTAAGGAAAGCCACGAAATGAAAAGTTGACTGTACTTTCACACTAACAAATACACAAAGTCCTCCCCCAAAACAGGAAGCTTCTCACACAATGGTAGTTTTCTCCAATGATTTGCACCCTTGAACTCTTCAGAGACAATCCAAAGAAATCATTAGCCATCTTGCTGCTGAATGAAAGGGTTTGGAATAGCCTCCATTCCATCCTGCGGACAAATAAGAACCACAGAAGTCCCTCTGCAAACCACAAGTCCCAGCTGGCGTGTGTCCTCTGTTAATTTGTATTGATCATCTGGATCTGAAAGGCAGAGAGCCATGGTTACAACGGCAACATAACGAGAAGAAAAATTCCATCAACTTCAAAAGGCACAGATGCTTTTTTCTTCTAGGTGTCTCTGCATTGTTGTATTGAACATAGGGACTATAAAAGTGGATCTGATGCAATATCTGATGTCTTCAAGACATTACTGATTTACTGATTTTCAATGTAGCACATGCCACAGCAAGCAATAAAAAAATTTTGCTTTGTATGCAGACCAGAACACAGCTTTTAAAGAATTCAAAGGGCCTTTAATTCATCTAACCAAAAGAAAAGCCCCTGATCCCATTTCAAATGCCATTATAGACAAATATTTTGGGATCAATGGAAACCAGAAAAAGACCCCAACTCTTCACAGAAAAGGCTGCCAGGCACTGGAAGGGGCTGCCCAGGGAAGGGGTCGAGTCCCCAGCCCTGGGGGGATTTAACAGCCGGGCAGAGGCGGTGCTGAGGGCCAGGGTTTAGTGGTGGGATGGCAGAGTTAGGGGAATGGTTGGGCTTGGTGATCTTGAAGGGCTTTTCCAACCTAAACGATTCTATGCACTGGTCCATTCCCAGACCAAGCCAAACAAGGCTGTGGATGGGGACAGACAAACACTTAACACAGCAATACCCAATTCTACCCTCCGTGAGATGGCAATACATTCGATAAAAATGCACTACACTCATGTTTTAAAACTCCCTTCCCTGTAAGCAGGCAAGAGAATACTCTTCAAAAACGCTGTCCTATAATACGATGAATTTTGTTTCAGAGAGGAGAAAGAGAAATGGGAGTGTTTATCCTTGGGTGGGAAAAAGAAACAATAAGAAAAAACCTTACGGCTCTATTAGCTCTAAGAAGCTATAGAAGGCTTTAGTTCCACAGAAATGCAAAGACTGCATTTACAGTTAAGTTTAAGACAGTAAGATGCCAGTTCTTGCCGAAACGCTTTTCCTGCTTTGAGCAAACCAGCAACCCTCCAGCAGTATAAACAAAGGCAATTGCCTTACCTGAAGGGAGACACACTGATTTATTCAAGCTTTAGAGGACAAGACCACCGAATGAGTTATGGAGGAGCTCCAGCAAGAACTACCAAGAACGTTCTACCATAGGAAATGTGCTTAATCTAGTTTCTGTTACCTTACCCCTTTCTTTACAACTTAGTTATCACAAACATGCCTCAGTTTGGATAAAGCCAACCTGCGGTTTCTGGTTATTCACTCACAGAGCTGTAAGATTTCTGTTAAGAAAATTACTGGGGGTGGGGAGGCTTTACACAGATAGCGCGTTCCTTACCTCGCATATATTCAATGGTACCATCGAGCACAAGGTTCAGAAGAGGGTCAAATCCTTTCAAGACACCACTCGCTATTGAAGACCACAAACAAAACAATGATTAGAGACCCAAACCAGGTATACAGCAACACAAGACCGTGTGAAGGACACATTCAGTTCTCCACCTCTCTTCCCTCCATCAAGCAAGGCAATCCAGCAAACGAGACTGGAAATATTTAACAGTGCCCTCTTTATGAAAGTACAGATGCACAAGAACCCAGTTTGGGTTGTGCCAACTGAAACTTGCAGGTCTTTCAAGCAATTCTTCAAGATGTTCTTTGAGATAATTAACATTTTTGTTTTGAGCCAATTTCAGGGGCATTTTAAGAATACTTCAGCATAACAAATCAACACAAGTCACACCACCAAAAAACGAAAACAACCCAAACCCAACCTCAAAACCAAACCCTTAGTGAAGGCATATGGCAAAAAAAATGAGGCAAGACTGTAATATTTTGAAGTGTTTTCCTCAGAAAACCCATCTTCCAGGTGCCCTCTTGGTACATAATCTCTTTAGCCTAAGCACTACCTTCATAGGAACGCATTGCAGACAGACAAGCACCTTGTCCTAAAACAGAACATGATGCCACAAGACTGGTCGCTTAAATAAATCACAAGACTGCACAGAATGATCTCCCAGTTTGAGAAATACTTGTTGATTACCAGCACTGTTATCATTGCTAACAGCTCAAGTCAAAGAGACTCTTACAAACCCAGGTGCCACATGAAGATCATAAAGAAACTGGGCATGAATTTTTTGAGAAGAAAATCTAAATGAATCAATACAATGGAATTGTCAACTGCCCAATAACTACCAAAAAACCACCCCCAAACCCCACATTTATCAGTAAGGAGTCCAAGCAACTTCCAAAACCTCATAAGCATCAGGTCCCCGTGGAGTTTTAAAAGAGATTTTTAAAAGCAAACCAAGTTTGCTTTAGCAGAAGCTCCTGCTGAGCATCTCCCACAGAGCATGCTATTGACTTTCAGATAGACAAGTGGTCTACAGGTGACACTATCACTGCATCAGGATGGACAGCTGTAGATACAGCAAAGGAGCAAGTAACAATGATATAAGACCCTCAAAAGTGATGAAAAGACATGGTGAAATATATTCAAACAATCTATGAACCCCAGGCACATTTAGCATATTGAGATGAAAGGGATGACAGGTGTATTAATCTTAACACCCATAAATGTTTCTTTGCTGCTTTAAGTGCACCCTTACAGCATGAAAAAACAGCCAAAAGAAACAAGACAGTTGAAGACAACTAATAAAAGAAGATGAAAGAAAGGTGCACAGATGAAACATAAGTATAAAACTGCAGCCAGGGGATTAGAGACATGGTTTAGTAGTGGGCAGGTATGGTTGGACTCTATGATCTTAAAGGTTTAGCCTGGAGAAGAGGAGGCTGAAGGGAGACCTGATCCCTCCCTACAACTGCCTGAGAGGAGGCTCCAGTGAGGTGGGTGTTGGTCTCTTCTCCCAAGTAACAAGCAATAGGACGAGGGGCAGCGGCCTCAAGTTGTGCCAGGGCAGGGTGAGGTTGGCCATGGGGAACAATTCCTTCCCCTTGGGGCTGTCAGGCACTGGAAGGGGCTGCCCAGGGAAGGGGTCGAGTCCCCAGCCCTGGGGGGATTTAACAGCCGGGCAGAGGCGGTGCTGAGGGCCAGGGTTTGGGGGTGGGATGGCAGAGGTGGGGGAGCGGTTGGGCTGGGGGAGCTGAAAGGGCTTTGCCAACCCAAACGATTCTGTGATCGATGGAGTAGTTAAAGGAGATCAGCTTCACACGGGTGACAGCAAACAGGAACAAATAAAAGCACCCGCTACCCATCGCCTGTTCTTGCAATCAAGCAACGTGACCACACGGGCGACAAAAGCCCACAAAGAGCGAGAAAAAAGCCAAAATGCATCAGGCAGCAGCGGCACACGCCTCCCCCCCAGCCCGGGGCCGAGCGCTGGCTCACCTTCTCTGCCACCTTGGAATTTCACTCGGATTGTTTTGTCGATGTATTTGGAGAGGTCCAGGATGCTCTCCTTCTTCTTCTTCTCCTTATCCTAAAGGAGCGAGGCAAAGGCAATTTGAATCAGAAAGAGCCCCGCCCCTCCCCCCGGTTACACAGATACTCCGTAACGCTTCGTTTTACAACGCGGTTTGTAACACGGCTGCGGAAACCGCCCCGAGGCAGAGCTCCACGCGAAGGAAGAGCGAGAGCCCAGGGCTGACCAGCGGGGCGGCCCCACGGCGCGGGCGGGCCGTGCGGCACC